TTACCAGGTGATAGGTGCTGAAGACTGTACAACAGTATTCAATAGTGCCGTAATGTACCACATGACATGCAACTCCCATGTCAAAACATGCATGCAAAAAGACCATCCCCGTCGACGTTGAGGGAGAAGCGGCCAAGCCTCCCATGCCATGCAACTCCCATGGGCCATGGCCATGTCACGTGAAAGCGGCGCTCCCCGCCGCATCGTTCCTGGCTGAAATCTTTCTTGATCTTTGTTTTCGAAATCCTGCGTCTCGCTGTGAATCACTCCAAAACGCGAATCATGGCCCCCATCGCATCCACCTCCGCCCCCGCCAAGAAGGGCAAGAAGCCCCAGTCCCAGCCCCGCGCCCCCGTGCCCCTCCCCGCCAGCTTTGACAAGTCTCAAGCCGAGAAGGCCGTCAAGGCGCTCATCGCCCACCACACCAAGGTCGCCGCGAAGAAGGAGGAAGAGGAGCTTTTGCCGAAGGAGGAGCATGTCTGGGTTGTCGTAAACACCAAGCAGGGTACTACTAGACGGAGTGTCATGCCCGTCAGGATGCAAGTTTCGCGATTGAAGTTTTGGACGAGAGCTGACGACCGGTATAGCCAACTCCCCCACCCTCCCCTCGCCCCTCCCCCCGCTACTTCCGTCTGCCTTATTGTCAAGGACACCCAAAGAGAGTACAAGGACCTCCTCGCTACCCACAACATCAAGTTTGTCGCCCGAGTGGTCGGCGTGGAGAAGTTGAAGGGAAAGTTCAAGCCTTACGAGCCGAGGAGGGAGTTGATGAGGGATCACGAGGTGTTTTTGTGTGATGACAGAGTGGTGCCGTTGATGCCCAAGTTGTTGGGCAAGATGTTCTTTGAAGCCAAGAAGTGAGTCCTGGAATTGTTTTTTTTCCTCTTGAACGCTACTGACTGTCATGTAGGCAACCCATCCCCGTCAACCTCGCCCGCAAAGACCTCAAAGCCGAGCTCGGCCGCGCCATCTCCTCTACCTACTTCCACCCCTCCACCGGTACCTCCACCTCTACCCGCCTCTCCACCCCCTCCATCACCACCCCCGCCCAGACCCTTGCCAACCTTCTCGAATCTCTTCCCCAGATCGTCGCCCATATCGAGGGCGGATGGGATGGTGTGCTGAGCGTCGGAGTGAAGACGAGTGGATCGGTCATGGTTCCCGTTTGGACGAGCGCGCTTGGTGGAAGGTTTGAGAAGAAGGAGAAGGCGAAGAAGGGCGAGAAGGAGGGAGCTATGGAGGTTGAGGAGAAGGAAGCTACCCCCGAGCCCGTCGTCAAAGCCGCCGCCCCTGCCGCGAAGAAGGAGGAGAAGAAGAAGGTCGCCAAGAGCGCTGCCCCTGCTGAGGAGAAGCCCAAGAAGAAGTCTTCCACTGTCGGGTCTGGTAGCGCGGGCAAGAGGGCCAAGGAGGTTGTTGTCGGCAAGAAGGCGAAGAAGGTCAAGAGCAAGGCGTAGTTTGTTTACTCTTCTAGGTTTCTTTTGGTAGCTTTATATGTTTTTTACCCGGCCCGTTTTGTGTACGTTTAGATGCATATCATTCCATGATAAATCTCAGGCAGCATAATGGTTCGGACAGCGCGAGGACTAAGAGACTCATCAACTTGTAGCCGTCCGAGGAAAGTGTTGCCGAGACATGATACTTTCATGAGACACCCGATGGACGTGTACATTAAGATGCATGTTGTCTCATGATCGAGCTATAACACATTTTTGGACATGAATGAAAAAAGGTATAGGGTCGCGATAACGGGTATATATTGATGCTAGAGATAGATGATGCCGGAACCATAAGAACGCCAACGCCCTCCCCCTCTGCAGCACCCTCAACACCAAACCCCCACTACTGCACCACTCTCAACTCATCACTCTTCTTCGGCGGCGGCCCGTTAATCAACACACTCTCCCTCAGCGGCGTGATCCCTCCGAAAGGCGTCACAGCCCCCGGCGTGACTGGCGCGCTCCTGTTGTGCTTCATATGCGCCTGGATCAAGTGACCGGCCGCGAGCGCTGCCATGAGGGACAGCTCGCCGGCCATGACGGCGGCGACGATGATACGGGCGAGTCGTTGGGCGTTGGCGCCGGGGGTGGTGGAGTGGGCGCCGGCGACGCCGAGCATGTCGAGCATGGCGCGTTGGGGGGAGAGGATGGTGCCGCCGCCGACGGTACCGACTTCGATAGAGGGCATGGAGCAGGAGATGAGAAGGTCTTGGCCGTCGTTAATGCTAAATGAGTGTTAGATGGCGTCGAGGCTGGAAGGAGAAAGTACGTACGGCTCCATCAAAGTCATACAATTGGAACTCTCGACGTTCTGGGCAGGATCTTGACCGCATGCGAGGTACATTGCCTAATCACGTCAATATCATTCGACTACAAGACAAGATTACTCACAGTCAGAATGTTGGCAGCGTGCGCGTTGAAACCTCCAATACTACCCGCCATGGCACTTCCAATCAAGTTCTTCTTGATGTTCAAATTGCACAGATCCTTCACCGTCGTCTTCAATACACTCTTCACGACGTGACCCGGCACCACCGCCTCCGCGACGACACTCTTTCCTCGTCCCTCAATCCAGTTGATAGCCGCGGGCTTCTTGTCCGTGCAGTAGTTGCCCGAGAGAGCGAGGACGTGCATGTCGGGGAAACGTTCGCGGAGCACTTCGAGCGACTTTTCGGTACCCTTCGAGATCATATTCATGCCCATCGCATCACCGGTCTGAACCGCAAAGCGGACGTACAGCGTCCGACCCGCAAGCGCACATTCGAGCGTTTGGAGCTTGGCGAAACGGGAGGTAGATTCGAAAGCGGCCTTGAGGGTCCCGTAGCCTTCGGGAGAGTCGATCCAGATACGAGCGGCAGCGGCTTGGACGATGTTGGGGAAATCGATAGCGGGTCCTCGAGTCATCGCGTCGTGCGTCAGCACGGTAGTGACACCACCCCCAGCATTAAGCGCCTTGCAACCTCGAGAAGTCGAAGCCACAAGCGTACCCTCGGTGGTAGCCATAGGTATATGGAGCAGCTGACCGTCAATGTTGAGAGGACCGGCGATACCGACGGGGAGGGGGAGGTAGCCGATGACGTTCTCGCAGCACGCGCCGATGATCTGCTTGTAGTCGTAGTCGTTCATGGGGAGGAGGGAAGCTTCGAGCGACTTTGTAAAACTCGAGCGAGAGATGACGGCTCGTCGTACCCGCACAGCCCGCTCGAGGTTTTTGAGAATCTTTTCCAAAGCGTAAGGCGCAATCTTGCCCTTTTGCACCAACAATACAACCTCCTCATCCGACAGATTGTTCACCCCAACACCGCCAGCGTACACCTCGATACACTCCTCCAAAGACCTTCGACCGAAAGTGATGATGCCGTCGTCGGGGGAAGCGGAAGCAGCAGAAGGAGGACAGGGAGGGGAGGGGGCGGTAGGTTCGCGGATGATGGGGATGGTGCCATTGGTCTTGGAGTCGTCGACACGGGGGGTGGAATCGCCATCGCGAACGTTTACGTTTCCGTTGGAAGGCGCGCGAAGAGCCGTCCCCGGCAGAGCGCCGTCCCTCCCCCTCGGCGTAGTCGTCGTCTCTCTCAGCGCCCTCTGCCCTCTCTCCGCATCGAATATCCCCACAAGCGCCTGCGCCGCCGCAGCCACCGGCCCCTTCCCCCCCATCGAGTTCAGCGCGATCCCCTTCAACAAGAAACCGTTGAGCATGATGCTGATACCGAGAAAGACGACGATCCACTTGCTCACGACGGGATCGCCGACGAGGGACGTCCACTCGGACATGAAGTGGTCGAAAGAGGACATGCGGGAGGGGACAATGTTGTCGCTGGACATGATGATTTGGGTAGGGGGGATGATCTGGATGGCCATGTCGGTCTCGGCGGGCTGGTTATCGTACAGCACCTGAAGTACGGGCGAGAGACTAGCGCTGCGGGGGTCGAGAAGAGCGCGCGAGGTGATCTGGGGGACAGAGTGGGTAGAGTGTCGTTTCAGCGAAGTCTGCTCGGTAAGCGTCGTGCAGAGGTTGAGGATGTGGAGGACAAGGAAGGAGAGGATCAAGAGGAGCTTGAGTCGGACGACCGGGTTCTCGGGCTGGTCCTCCTTGTCGGGGGACGTAGAGCGAGACCAGAAGCCCTTGACGGTGGGAGAGGAGGAAGCGCCGTCGGCGAGGGAAGTAGAGCTAGAGACGCGCTTGACAGACTTGACGCGTCGGTTGCCGCCGATGAGTTTGATTCGATGGACTTCGACCATGATACTGAGGATGGAGGCGTAGAACGTAAAGAGGAAGACGCAGTCGACAGCCATAATAAGGGCGGCTAACGCAAAGTCAGTTTCGTCCGGGGAAAAGTAGAAGAGAACGCACCCAGCCAGCAGAACTCTCTCAGCCCTCCGATGCCACTCGCAGCACCACCACAAAGCACGATAATCTCCAACGCGTAATCCCTAACAATCCTCACCCCGTTGTTCTTCACAGCGTCCACTACAATCTTCCTAGCCGCCACCGGCGCAACCCACTTCACTTTACCCTCCGCCAATCGCTGGAGCCTCTCCAAAGGCGCGAGCTCTTTGTGCAAGGCACCCAAGTCCAAGTCCAGTCCTAGGGAAGAGCCGAGGGAAGAGTCGGTAGGAGAGAGCGCGGGGGAGGAGGGCACGGGGTCGATATCGGGGTTCTGCAAGACGGCCTTGGCGAGTTGGTAGGGTTTCTCAAAGCCAACTGTAATGACGAGGAAGGGGATGGTCTCGGAGAGGCAAATGGGGTCGACGGGGATGTCGAGGAGGTAGGCGGCGTGGAGGGCGACGAGGAAGGCGGCGGTTGATGAGCAGAGGGTGGCGATGGCTATACAAATGTCAGATATTGAGTGTGGCCCGAGAACAATAAGAAAATGACTCACGGATCCAGAACGAGCTCCCGAGCTTACGCATACTGATGAAAAGATTGGCAAACACACCGTGCATTACGATGTACCCCAGGAGGACAACAAAGATGTCGGCAGAGTCGGCATTCTAACCCCATCAGCTCCAAGTCAAGTCTCTTAGAACACAAGGAGGAGAACGTACCATCGCCAAAGTCCAAATCCTCCCGACCAACGCACTCATGGCGAATGCTATCCATTTTGCGTTCTGAACAGCATACGGCTCTTCATCTCCTACATTCAAACCATCGCCAAGACCCGAGAACAAGCCGACGCCGTCGATGCTCGGTAGGAAGCCCCAGCTTGAGCCGCTGGGGGGCAAGAGACGGAGTGTCGAGTTGGAGCCCGGGATGTGGTAAGGGGTGATGTGGTTGAGCTTGTGGAGGAAGGGAATAGTGGGAGTACCGGGGGAAGGCGGTTGGAAGAAGAGCGTGATGGTTGATTGGGACGGGTGAAGAGGGTGGGGGGTGAATGAGGGTACGGAGGAGCTGTTAAAGCACAGATCCCGGTAGGTGTAGCGAGAACCTTCGTACGTGACGCTGAGGTCGTTCAAAAGCCACTTCTCCCAGTCGTCTGTGGAGCCCTCCGTGCCCTCCCGAGTCAAGACGATCTGCTTTACGATAGCCACAGTCGCCTTTTCGCCAGCAGTGTTCCCCCCCGCCTCGACGGGAAAGACATAACCACCGTCCAACGCGTTCTCTTCCAGGATCCTCCTAAACTCGGTAGCCGTCACAGGCTGCCAGTCGCCCGCGCCCGCGTACTCGCTACCCCCACTCCCACTCGCAGCATTCGACCAACTACCGCCATGCGAGCTGGGCAAGATGTACGGCGCGTCTTCGACCTGGACCTGGGGCTGGTGGGAGAGATGGACGAGATGTGCCGGCCGGGAGGGCGTGGAGACGGCAGGGACGTTGAAGAAATCAGAGTGCTTGACGGCTTGGAGGAGTTGAAAGTAGGAGAGGGTGGCGAGGATGAAGGTGGTGGTGATGACTTCTATGGGGGCGGCGGAGGCGAGGGAGGAGAGGGAGATGAGCAGGGGGCGGAGCATCGTGGTTGGGAGGAAATGAGTGGGGAGTATGGCCAAGTGTGATGAAAAGAAAAGAGGGAAAAGAAAAGTAGGAAAGATGAGATGAAGGGTGCTTTTGGTGAAGAAGGGTGGAGGTCGCCAATGGCCGTTGAGGGCGCAGAGGGGTGAGGGGGCGAGGAACGGGGGCTGCGTCCTGCGATGAGTGCAAGGAAAGAACAATGCATCCACCATCGTCCCATCTCCCCAAAAACTCTAAACACCACGTGCCTTTTCTATTCATCTCAGGGCGCGTATTTCAACCCGGCGCGTAATGGGTTGTAATCGTCGACTAATGGGATTTCAGGCACCGCGAGAGCCGTTTCTTTGGGAAGGGGGTGGGATGGGGGCCGAGCGAGCAACGCGAGCGAGTACATGTTTTCATAGCGACTAACGGGAGCGTACTCTCGGAGCGAAGCGACAATACGTTGGGGTGGGCGGGCGGGCGAGGTGGAGGTGGGGGTGGGGGGCGTGGGGAGGTGGGTGTACGGCGGGGGCAGGGAGGAGGGGAGATGCGATGCGATGCGATGGGAGGCAGGGGAGGGTGAGATGGGGGATGGGGGATGGAGAAAGATGAAACGAAGCCGAGATAAGATTGGAAGATTGGATTTCGGGATCGTCACCCGGCTACGCGGTCATCCCCGCGTCTGTTGTCGTTTCGTTTGTGTTTACTCGTAAAGGAAGAAGAGGAGGTGGGAGAAGAGAGTCAAAGAGGCAAAGAGGCAAAGAGGCAAAGAGGCAAAGAGGCAAAGAGGCAAAGAGCTGTGGATCAAGTCTCTGTCCCAATACCCAGCCTTTCTTATAAACTGTATACATGAATAAGTAGACGAAACGATGGACGGAGCGCGGAGTGATACTTTACGTCTACGGCACGGAGCGGATAAGGGTACGAGTCCACCAGCGAAGCGTTTGCGAAGCGTACGAAAAGGGTAAAGACGATAAGAAAGAGGTGTCGGGCGAAAGGAGGTAAGGGTAGCGAGTATGGGCGTATCGACGTAGAGTACGTACGTCGGACAGCCCTTGCTATTTGCTATTGTAGGAGATAGGAATGAGGACAAAAACGAGTACTCTAGTACTCTAACGGAAGCAAAGACGACTCGAAGTAAAGGCGGAGGCAGAGGCCAGCAAAGCTGAAAAAAAGAGTCCATGGGACGTGCAGGCGCCCTAGGACGCTACGAGTACACTGACTTGTGTATGGTCGTTTGATAACGACGCCATTCACACTTTTGAACTTGGAGGTTTGCCGGTGCTTGGATGTATTATTTGGGTCTTGAGAACCATCGCCAAGGTTGCCGCTGGTATTCGCTATCAGTGAAGCAAGACTCACTGGAGCGACGATCGGGCTACGCACGCAAGAAGTGGCTGTCCAGTATCTCGTAGAACTCTACAAAGGCATCGTCCAAAGTGTCGATCGACGCGCCCGAGGTGCAACCCTCGTTGTCAAGTCATGTATCGTAGATTAAATTCTGATGCGGTAGAAAGGGCTCGCGACCTATAGTTTACGACTACGACTGGGCGATGATCGTCCCATGAGCCGCTCCTTTGGGTCAAGACGATTTCTCCACAACGGCACAATTGAACTGCATGTCGTCTTTAGATCACATATAGTATCAGCAGATCTGTAGAGAAGGACTATACGATTCCAAAGGTACTTGTTCGATTGCTCAATGTGGCGCGCCACGATGCATCGAAACCAGAGCACCGTGTTTTCCGAGCTGCCAGTCCATAACCGGAAGAGAGGTCTGGAAGCGAGTAAGGGAGCGGAGGGACCACGTCAAGGCATAGCAGTGACGCGCGATGACTTGCTGGGGGTGAGGGGCGTTTTGAAGGAAACAAGTCGCTGGGGAAGTACGTCGAGCAGTGGGAACAGCGGAGCAGCAGGGAGCTGGATGAGTCGGCGACGCCCCGCGTCCATCAGCAACGAACAAAGCGCGTTGTCAGTGTTTCTTCTCTGCTGGTGGTGTCATAAGCAAGAGTAAGTGTGCATGAACAGCCTAACTATTCCGAGACCTTCGTTGCCAGCGGCAAGACGGTCGTCGTTGTGAGAAGGCTGAGTGCTGCGATGTCGGCTGCAGGCGGGACTGTCGTAACGTCCGTATACCATACTTAGTCATACCGACTGACGTAGCACGTACTTATGTATGTACATCTAGTCAAGTGGGATTGCCAAGGGCAGGACAGGTCAATCAAGGCCAAAAGAATGTAAGACGGTTGTTGGAAAATGGAATGCACTTGAGAACGATTTCAAGCCGGGCGGGGGCGCGCCGAAAACCCAAAATGGCCAAAACCCGGCCTTGAAAAATTGATCCCGCGCTCAAGCCTTTGTTGTTGCCACTCGCGCGCACATGCAATCTTGTTGTTTCGTTGTTCTCTCTTTCTTCTCATCCATCCCCCCATTCCCCTATCCGCCATCGCCTCTCTTTCTTAACAACCGCGTGCACCAATCCCCACCTCCCCATGGCCGATCCAGGCCCCTCTACGAACACAGGGGAACCGACCCCTGCCCCGCAACCGTGAGCACCTGGGTACTGTGTGTGTTGATTACTTTCTAATCGTCGTACAGAGTGCAGCAAACTCCTGCCTCCATCAATGCGCTCTCAGAGATTTTTGGCTTCATCAATCATCCTGACGCCGCTGCTACAGCGGCGCGCGCCGGCTCTACACAACGCAAAGGCACAAAAGCTTCTGCACGACTCAAAGGCAAAGCTCCCGCAGTCCCTCCCCCCTCGAAATCTTCTGTTCCCAATGCGTACCCCGCTGGTCTCGGCCATTCCGCGAATCAGGGTCTCGGAGGTCCTCTGGCGTTGGTCCCGTTCGACCTTACGATCCACCACCGATATCCCAACGGTCTCACGATCAAGCCATACAAGGATGTGGACCAAGATTGGATGGGTTCAGTCTGGACCAGTTGCTATCACAAAATTCCAGGCGAACCTGGATTTCAAGCCGACCACGTTGTCTTGTATCTCCGTGAATTCTGCTTTCCTCCCAAGACTGTATACAAAACTAGCTGGAGGACGGACGTGGACTTCTCCCAGGATTCTTTCTATCTGGAAAAGGAGTACACGGATTTGGAGATTGTGCAATCCGTCAGGGATCATGACACCGAAGTGAAAGTGAGTAGTCTCGCTTGTGCCCTGGATAGTGTCGCTGATCAGCTTCTACAGGGTTCGAAGCTTTCATCCCTGGGTACATCCAAAGCTGCATCTGTGCTGTCGATGAAGCTTGGCGCCACAAAGCCAGACGTCTGTCTAACAGGGTATCACAATGGCAATCTCGCGGAAGAGACGTGTCGAAAAGAGCCCGCGGGCGGCGGAAATCTGGAAGATACCGATCGCCCCCTCGAAGCCCTCTACGCTATCATCGAGCTCAAGTGGGTCCCTTGGCCAGGAGAAAGTAGGCTCAATCTACGGAACCTCGATCTACACCTCAACGACCTCGACTACGCAAACATGGAGGCTATCACTCAGACAATCTTCTACAGCCTACTTGGTTATGACGTTTCAAAGTGTCGTTCGGCTATGGCATTGGTCAACGGGGATTACACTCGTATCATGAACCTGTCTGATCTGGTGCCAGAAGGAGAAGAGGCAGTCTTGGGGGGCATGACTCTAGGAGGAGGCGGTGGTCGGAGAATCTTGGTCGAAGCCGATCCAGATGTTGTCAACAAGTTGAGGTACCACAAAGTTCCTTGCCTGTCCCCAGAGCAATTCGGCGAACTCGCGGCAGGAGTTTCTTCTCTCGGTATCCAGTGGAAAGCACCAAATTCCCTCATCGCAAATTACGAGAACTGGGCTTTGGATGTAGAGGCTAAGGAGCGCCTCGATGCCACTGTATATCTGAACCTCGCCCTCGCTACTCACCATCCGGAGGCCGTCCAAGACTCCCGCATCAGCAATCATCCCCTTACGAACGTCATCGGCGCGAACACCTCCAAGAAAGAGGCATATCAGTGGCTCGATGTGGGGGTGAAGAGAGTTACATAGATCTTGTAAAGCTCAT